TCACCCAATACAAATCCCCTCACACAGTGGTTTTTGAACTAGGGGTCACGACCCAGTACTAGGTCATGGCGTGTCAGGCACTGGGTCTCGTTGCTGCCAGGGTGACTAGTGGGAGTGCTAAGGCAGCTGCCTGCCTGCCCTGGCACCACAGACAATGCTGCACCCAAGAAGTGGCCAGTAGCAGGCCTGGCTTCTGGGGGAGTAGGGGGAGAGGAGAAGAGTACATAAGGCTCTGTGCACTGCTCCTGCCCTGAGCACTAGCTCTGCATTCCCATTGGCTGGGAACCTGCTGCCGGCTGCTTCTGTGGCACAGCATGGTCTGCAGTGCCAGGGGAGGCAGGAAGCAGCTCAGGATAAGCCCCTCCTGCCCCAGACCTGACACCCTACCCACCAAAGCCAAGCCCCTTCCTACAGCCCGAAGCTCTCATCCTCTACTCCACACCAGAGCCTAAGCTCTAGACAAATTATGTTGGGTCGCTGGCATCAACAATTTTCTTCAATTAGGTCATTGGAAAAGAAGTTTGAAAACCACCACTCTAACAAACCCCTAGAGCGACTGCTTTTGGAGTTGCAAGCTCTTCCTTGAGAACAACCTAACTCCTCTTACTGGGACTTTATGAAGGCATGAGCTGTATGAGTTGTTATGCTAGGGTGACCTCTAAGGGGGAATAAGAGATACTGCGCTTCTTTTTGTGAAATAATGAATATTCTGCCGGCTTGGTAGGGTGAACTATTTGAAAGGATCCATGCCAAACCAATGGACTTGCACAAGTAATTTACTCGCTAAACCATTGGAATATGAAGATACAGGGAAGCTGTTTAAAATGAAACCTGATTTGTAATCTAAACTTGCAAAAAACAATTGTACACTACCCTTTTAAAGAAATGAAAAATGCAGGACAATGTAGCACTTTAAAGACTAACAAGATGGTTTATTAGATGATGAGCTTTCGTGGGCCAGACCCACTTCCTCAGATCAAATAGTGGAAGAAAGTAGTCACAACCATATATACCAAAGGATACAATTTAAAAAAAATGAACAAATATGAAAAGGACAAATCACATTGCAGAACAGAAGGGGGATGCGGGGGGGTGGGAAGGGGGAGGAAGGAAGGTAAGTGTCTGTGAATTGCTGATATTAAAGGTAGGGAGAGTGGGATGTTTGTGAGTTAATGGTATTACAGGTGATAATTGGGGAAACTGTCTTGGTAATGGGTGAGAAAGTTCAAAGACTTGTTAAGTCCTTGTTGGTAAGTGTCGAATTTTAACATTTTAAAAGAAATAGCGCTCTGGTACTGGCGTCTGAGCCTCAGGTATGAATCCTTTCAAAATCTATTGGGGGGAGAGTGTCTAGATATAAACACTGGGTTCCAGCTACTCCACTGAGCTTTGTCACAGGCTGGATACAAGTGCAGAAGGGGGTCTGTTTCCAGAATCCAATTCAGATTGGTGAAAATCTCAAGAGTGTAGCTAATCTCCTGTAATTTCCACTATTGACACTGAAATATCTTGAGCAGTTTTAGCTTTTAGTACCATCAAATCCAAATGGGAACTAAACCTTGATTAGATGAGAATTCTGAACCCAGACTTAAAATTGCTCAAAATCTGTATCCAGCCACAAACACCACCTTCTGGGTCTGCTTCTAATCAGCACCGGTAGATGGAAGATGGACTTGCATTTACATTTGTCTTCCACAGTTCAAGACAAACTGGTAGGAAAATAATCAGACGGTCATAGAACATACAAAGAAACTGGTCCTTTAAAGGGTTGTACAACTTCACTCCGTCCCTGGGGAATATAGCGAACCATACCAAAATCACAGCCCCATCTTGCTGAGACTAACTCAGCTTTCATTGACTCCTGTAGTATTACTGTCCTCATTTTACTGAGCAAGAAAGTAAGGCACAGAGTAGGCAATTCACCTGCCCAAGGCCACCTAAGACATTTTTGGCAGGGATGGGATCAAAACCCATATTGTCTGATTCCTCATACCATGCTCTTTTCATAAGATCACCCTTCCACACAGGAAGAAAGGGAGTGAGGGTAGGAAGTGGTTCCCAATACAAAACATAGGCCAAAATAGAGAGAGGAAGCTGATAGTTTTAGATTCATTCATGATGCAATGTTGAAAAAGTATTTTAGGCTTGCTGCAAATGAGCTGCCAACCAATGTAACGTATGCCTCACTGACATGTCTGTGACAGCTCAGTCTCATGCATGGCTGCCCCACTGGGGTTTGTCTCAGTGTGGGAATCATTGTTAGCAAACGCTGCTCTGTTAAGCCAGAACTTCTGGAACTCACTGCTGATGTCACTTCCAGTGCGGAGTCTTCCAAACCAGCCATGTTGGCTCTGGAGTTCAGAGGCAATATGGGTTCTAAACTCCCTAGACTTCACCAAACAGGTGTGATTCTTTTCTTTAACAAACAAACATGCTGACATTAACCAATAAGCTTGTATGCACCTGGCATGAAACTGTCCTTGTTAAAGATGAAGCCAGGCCTATGTTTTCTTAAAGGCCAGAGATGTTCAGATTACTGGCTTTGGTTTGGGATCACTTATCTGACTCTTAAATGGCTGATTTAGGATCTTTCCTTCTTTGTCTTCTGGGTTTTTTTCTTTCTTTTTTCACTATGATACTGGAGTCTATACATGAGAAAAGCAAATCCACGGGGTATTTTTGGATCAGAGTTCAGCTCAGAAATTTGATCAACCATGAAACTTTGGGCAGTCACTTTCCATGGCTGCCCATTCAGACACCCCATTAAAGCTGACTTTCCATTTACTCCCACTACTTACGTGGCGGTTCTCTGCATGCGATTTGCTTTATTTAGTTAAACTCCAAATTGCATGTGGCCTGGGGGAATTGCTTAAAAGGAAGGAGGTGGTAAGTTCATCTGCAGATTCTCTGAAATGGACTCCTTTTCCGCATGTCTAGTTCTTCAATGTGACAAGCAGCTTTTTACAAGTGCTCCTCCAGCAGCTGAATGCAAGCTGGAGCCCCAGACTCCGTAAATAATATATTGATTTGGTTTGAATGTGGGTCAGTAGGTCTGACGCCTAAGCAAGCAGTAACCATGGGCATCCTACTGGGAGCATCAACCATTCGGTTGGTGTAAGAGAGAAGAAGGGGCTCTGATATTTTCTGTTCTTTCTTTAATTAAAACTGAACTCCCATATGCCTTAGTCCTGGGGAGCTGTATGGAGACCCTGCAGCTTTTCTGGGAAAATCTGGCAAACAGTCCCTCTAGGAACAGTTCATACAAGGGTGAATGGGTCAAAGGCCCCCACAGAACTGAACCATGGCAGTTTCACTGTAGGTGGCTGAAATGGGTGTTTAAAGGAGATTTTCATCCCGTATGCATCTCTGTCCTGGGTTTGTCACCAGCCCAGTGAAGGCCGCTGCAAATGATTGAAAATCTTTGGCAGGAGAGAACGGTTTTGGTCTCTGATTGTTTTTATGCATGTGTGTGTGCGTGCAGGGCTTGCTGGGACAGCTGTCATTGAAAGGCGGACCTTCTGCCCTGCACCTTGTCTATGGTATGGAGGTGAGTCCTCTGCTCTGAGCAGTTCAGTTGGGGGCTGACCAGAAAGGGGAACTGATTATGATTAGGAGTATGACATGGCTGACCAGTTGGATGAGCTTTCTGGTTGATGAGTGTGGTGGGGTAACTGCCCTAGGATGGCCAGAAGGGGTTAAAGCAGGTTGGAGGGAGCCTGCATAGAGCCCTGGCCAATCAGAGAGGGGCTTCAGGAGCCAATCAGAAGGTGGCTTGCTGAGGTAGCCAAGTATATAAGGAGTTGAGCAAGCCAGTTAGACAGAGCAAACCTAGGCTTGGAGACCATAGCTGGACACAGAGGCAGTAGAGGCCAAGAACTTCTGATACAACCCCTGGAGGGGGAGGCCCAGACCAATGCAAGAGATCCTTGTAGTGGGCACTGCAGGAGGGCAGTGTCCCAGAGAGGACACTACACTCTGGGAGCTACACAGGTCCAGAATGTAAGCATGGAATGTGGATGGGGGAGACTTTGGCCAGCAGGAGGTGCCCTGTGGATAGGGGAAACATCAGCCAGCAGGCAGTGCCCCAGGGGGAGGGATAGCTCAGTGGTTTGAGCACTGGTCTGCTAAACCCAGGCTTGTGAGTTCAATACTTGAGGAGGCCATTTAGGGATCTGGGACAAATCTGTCAGGGATGGTACTTGGTCCTGCTGTTAGGACAGGAAACTGGACTCAATGACCTCTCAAGGTCCTTTCCAGCTCTATGAGATGGTGTATATCTCCATATATAAACTCATTCCCTGGAGTAGGGATTTTAAATATCAGTTAATTGAATAGTCGAGTAACCTCATGAATTCTTATCTGTTAGTCGACTATTCTATAGTCAGGGGGCAGGGCTGGCAGCCACTGTGTTCTGGGCCCATTCCCGAGGAATCTACAGCCACTCTGTGCTGCTGCTTCTGTATCAGAGGCAGCAGTGCAGGGTGCCAGGCAGGAGCTGGTCTGCCAGGCGAGCCAGTTTAAAAACCAGCTCCCCTCCCAAACCAACTGACTGTTGCCCCCTGCTGCTGCCTCTGATACAGTGGTAGCAGTGTGGCAGTGGCAGCGGCAGCAGCATCTGTCCAGGAGGGTTGTGCTCCCAGACCCAGTGCAAGCTGGAGCTAGTCTGTGCTGCCTGCTCACCTAGCTCCTAATGCACTTTAAATGCAGAGATGCAGCAGGGGTGGGTGGGTCCCAGACCTGTCACAAGCAGGACTGAGCTGGGCTGCTGGACAGCCTGCTAAAAAATTGACTGGCAAGGAGGGTGAGGATGTGTGTAGTCTATAGCATTAACCTATAAGCCTTTGCTTATCGGCTAATCAGTTAATCAATTATCCTATTTTAGCCTATTACATCCCTATCCTAGAGCAGCCAGAAGGAGGTGCCGCAGCATTGAGCCCTGCCCTGTTACAAGTTAATTGTTATTTGTTAATACTGTACTTCATGAGAACATTGTTCCTTACCCAGGGCCTGATCCAATGACTACTGGCATCAAGGGCAGTTTTCCATTCACTAACCACACTGCTGATGGTACACATGCCAGAACAGAATCCATCTTGCCTTCCTGCAGGTGTTCTGAGTTTGCCGTACTAAGGGGAATAAATAAGAGTGAAAACTAAGTTTAGTCAATAAAAGCAGCTGCTGTGACTCTGAGAGGAAGATCTGCTGAGTGAGAAAGCAATTTTTACTTGTCCTCTTTCAGAGTAAAAATGTGTGCTGCTCCTCTGCTCAAGCATAAATGTTTCATGCTGTATTGCTAGGTTATTATAAAAATTCTAGCTTCTCAGCTTCTTGGATTCCCCAAGCAATGCTATTTTTAGAGACTTGGTGAGATAGCTCCTGCCCCTTCAGCTTTGCTGTATGTCTTATGTCTCAGAGGACTTGCACAAGGTGAATGATTTCATTTGTGAAAACAAAGAGATGGGGCAGTGGGTATGTTAGCAGCTGCTCTGCAGCATGCCAGGTACCAGGCAGAAGGAGTGTGGAAAGAGTAGCCTAGCATTTGTGCCAGCATGTACCACCATGGGAATCAAAACATGACTGCATAGCCCACAATGAAAGTCTGCAGGTTGCAAATGCAGGTGTGAGTTGTGTGGAAAAGGATTAAAGGAATTTCCAAACTTTTAGCTGCTGATTTTAACAGGAGTTGCAGGTGCTCAGCCCAAAGTCAGACCCCAACCATGAAATGCAGCATGTGAAGTGAAATGGGAAAGGAAAGGGGTGTAATTCCTTCCTGACCCTTTCTGAGAGAGAGCAGGTGCCCAGAAGCATGAGGTTTTAGCATTCATTTGCCTTACCTTGTACAGATACATACGGTATTGCAAAAAGTAATGGGTTGAAAAAGATCCAGCTTCAATGTTTTTCTTCAGGGTCTCCAGTACAGCCTGAGTGTGCGTTCAATTTCAGGTCAGCGTGCGAGTTAGTCCTAACACCCTTAGGGCCCTTTGAAAATCCCACCCTAAAACGTTGTGATCTGTTTGCCCTCCATGCTGTGTGCCTAGTAATGTAGCTCTTATCTTCTGCCAGATTCAGTCTGTGAAACCTCAGGAAACTAGTACTTCATTTCTCTTTCCTTCTTGGGGAATTCTAAGGTGCCATTTGAACTTAGCATCAACCACAGTGACAGGATCTGACACCAGGGAGGCCAGGCCAACTTGCCCCTCCCACATGGCAGCCGGCCATTCACCTCCTTTAGACAATGGCATGACCTCACTCCTAGTGAGGTGGGCCTGAGAATGGCCAAGTTCTCTGGTGCACGAAGCCGAAATAGGCGTCTCACTCCTGGCTGGGGAGCAGCTGATAGATTATACTTAAGATGTGGAAAATCGACGTAAAGACGCCACTTGGCTGGGAACAAGTCGGGGAGAATGGAGACCTGGCAGCTTTTCCCAGTTCATTGTTGTGGGAGGGGAAGTGAGTCAGAATGCAAGGAGAGGAGCTGTTTTTCTAGCTAAATACAGAGATTAGTTTACATCCTGTGGCAAGGATGTTAAAAAAAAAAAAAAAAAAAAAAACCCTGGGGCGAGGCCCACTGTTCAGCCTGCTTGAAAGGCCCGACATCCAGTCAGTGGTCTCTCTCTCTGGCTCCGATGCCTGAGGCTTGGACTTTTCTCTTTGGGATCGAAGGCTCATCTTCTCTGGTTCTGGGAGCCCTTTGCTCTAGTGCTCTATTTCCTGAAGGATTCACCAACACGGGGAAGGTATTAAGAGGGACTTTTGAGAAAATTAGGGACATACCTTTTAACTCCAGTGAAAGATACAGGACTCATGAAGATTGCTGAAAGAGAGGGTTGAGAAAATGGTAAATGTTTGGCTCAGGACTCGGGCTGGTCTCTCTTCCATAGGGACAATCAGGACAATAGTAATTAATATCGCCAAATCACCCTCAATGTGCAGCTTATTATTAAAGTCCCAACCCTTCTAGGAACTTCATGGAGCAGGGAGGTCACCCTTGTGGAGCTGATTCCAGGCACTTAGGCTGTAATCAGTTTGGATCCGGGAGCTTGTCTGCAGCAGCTGTAAAGCACCAAACAGAATTTATGCTATATGAGTGTGGGGGTAGAATCCTGCTAGACCACTTTGAATACCAGAATAGGTTTTATTGTGGTGTTTTCCCTCTTGTCATTTTGGTCCTGTGGTTCTTTATCTGTGGTGACACATTCAGTCACAAAGACCTTTGCTTTGGCTGAAAGGAAACAAGTAACATTCCCAGGAGAGAGCACAGTGTGCACTTCTGCATCCATCTGCTCTGAGTGCTGAGAACAAAATGGTAGCTGAACTCGGCACACAAAGAAGTGCTCAGAAATTAAAAGGTGCAATATTCAGAAAATGGAAGGGGCTTTTATCTCAAAGCTACATACACCCTGGCTATGTCTGCACTGCCCTTTCTTGCACAAGAGACTATGCAAATGAGGCGAAGCAGTGAATATTGCTGCACCTCATTTGCATAATTAATGAGCTGCCATTTTTGTGCAAGGGGTTTTTGCGCAAGAGCCATTCTGCCTGTTTTTTTCAGGAAGAACGGCTCTTGCACAAGAGGGGGGTTTTGCACCAAAGCCCCTTATGCAAAAATGGTGGCTCATTAAGCATGCAAATGAGGCACAGCGATATTCACTGCTTTGCCTCATTTGCATATTCTCTTGCGCAAGAGAGGGCAGTGTAGACGTTGCCGATATGTTTTACCATCACTGATAAAACATGCAAAGGTTTTTGCTATGTTTACTTTTAACTTGTGGATTAAAGGGTATAATGGGACTAGGAGCTAATGGGATGACTCAGTGGATTGCAGTAGGCAAAGTTTACGAATTTCCCTCAAGGGTTAGTGCTTGCAACAAGAAAATTAAGTAAGTTAAAAGAATTAGAGAGCAAACAGAAATCCAAAGCATTTTGTGGCCAGCTAACAGCTTGCCTTTACAAGCCATGACCCAGAGTTTGAAACCTCTGGTCTAGGATAACCTCTCTCCCTATGCACTGGCTTATCAAAAGCTTCAGAGGGGTAGCAGAGTTAGTCTGTAACAGGAAAAACTTAAAAAACAACAAATAGTCTAGTAGCACCTCAACACAACATATAGATGGCATCATGAGCTTTTGTGGGCACAACCTACTTCTTCAGATGACTGGAGTGTTGGAAGTCCAGATACAAGAATAAATAAGTCATCAAAGTCAGCTGAGATGCTCTTGTTATGAGTCCCTGGATTTGAAGTCTACACAGCTGGGGGAAGCACATGTCGATCTCCTTCTCTGGCTTTCAGTCAGAGCTGAAATTCCCGGGGAGATCTTACTGCATTACATTCGTGTATCATTTGAGTCAGGGGGATCACAGCCCTCCAGGAGTGAGAAATGATCAGGTAAATTCATTTATAATACTGCCGAGAGGTCCCACCACCTAGAGAAGCTTGTGTATACTGATTCAAACTGGATTCCCTAGAGACCTAGAGGAAAGAAAGGACTTTTGGATAAATAGCCTGAGTTTAAACTGAGGTGTTTTTTTTTCTGATCTAGCAAATAGACAGGCCCTTCCATCCAAGCAGGCCACGGTTCCTCCAGGTTGGTAGGAGGTGACCTGCTCATGGGAGTGCTTGTTCTGAGCTTCTGTCTATAGGAAAAAAAAAACCTTTGGTGGGATTTTGAAGGCTTGATCACCTGCCCTTCTTGGAGTTGGGATGACCTCTGGCAAGCTGATTAGCAGGCATGTAGACTCTTTTATTGATGGAAGGAAATAGTAAGGGAGGCATTGGACACCAATGAGCGGTGAGCCCATGTTTGTTGATGATGATGATGATGATGAGAATCCTTTATTGCTTTGTGTTTTCTCTGTGTTGCTTAGAAAGGGCTGTGTGGTAACGTCTAACTGTGAGAAATGATGTTATTAATAGCCTCTACTGAGAGGACAAAGCAGATCTGCTTGGACAAACTGACTTGCTGAGGGATTCGCAGTAGGTAGGGAACTGTGCAGCCTACAAAAACCTTAGTCAGGAGGGAGAGAGACACATGGGTCTCCGCTCAAGAGAGGTGACAGCTGGGAGCCAGAAGCCTGTGAAAGGGGGACCCTTCGTGGCCCACGGAAGTGCAGTTGCATTCCACTGTGAAACAGGGATCTGGGATAATGCACAGCACATCTTTGGTTGAGTACATGACTGGGATTCCAAGTTCAGGAGGTTTTCTCTGTGCTGATTAGGGGTGGTTGTTTGAGTGAATGGCTTTTCTTGCCATCCATTCTTAGCATTCTACAGGAAATACGCTGTTTGGAAATAGAGCTGCAAAAGACAGGTCTAGATCTGACCTGCACCAAAGTTTGGGGGAGTTTTGATCAATCCCTTAACTTCTCAGTAAGTAGCGGTCCCAGCTATACTAGCTGTATGTGCATAATACAAGTTATTGTATTGGGGACTCTCTGGTCCAGCAACATCCATAGTCGGGCATGGCCATGGATGTTGATGGACCAAAGAGCGCCAGAGGCAGGAAAGGGAGCCAGCCAGGAGAACATGGGAGCTGGGGAGCACCTGGGCCAGGAAGCGGTCGGGGAGCCCAAGTCCTGGCCAAGGAATCCTGACATCAGTGGGGCCAGGTGGTAGCTGGGGATCTCCTGCCCCAGGTGGGTGTCCCCTAGCATCAGATGGGCCAGGCAGCGTGCGGGCAACTGCTGATGTCAGCAGAGCCAGGCGACTGGGGAGCCCCAGCCCTGGCTGGGGAATCCTCAGCTGCAGCAGAGCTGGTGGCAGTGGGCAGCTGACCGGGAACCCTGGGAAACCTCCAGTGGCAGCAGGGTTGGGGTGAGTGGATTGCCCCAGCCAGGGAATCCATGGCATCAGCTGCGGTGGTGGTGGGAGCGGAGCTGCAGTGGACAGACGTCCCCAGCAGAGGAACCCCAGGGAACCCCCTACAGCAGCAGGGCTGGCAGTGGCCATGCAGTCCCAGCCAGGAACTCTGGGGGACCCTGGCAGCAGCTAGGAGGAAGCATGGCAGGGAGTCTCTGGTGGGCCACATCAGTAGGAGCAGCAGCAGGGCTGGGAGCCCCAGGCAGAGGAGCCTGGGAGCTGGGCAGCCAGCAGGGGAGCATTGACCTCCTCTGGTCTGGCAGACTCCCTGGTTCAGGACAGCTCAGGTCCTGAGGGTGCTGGAAAAGGGGGGTCCAACCTGTACAGCTATTTAGCTAATGGGAGCCTGGGCTCTCATAATGACCTATAGCCCTTAAAATAATCAGCCACCTCTCACTCTTGACTTTGTAAATGAAACATTGTTTTATTTATCGATCAGTGACAGACCATACATTTGCAACTTGTTACCGCTGTCACTGAAACGTTATGCAAAGAGTTCTGTTTGTAAAAGCTGGCATAACCTCAGATTTAATCTGATATGGTATGAATCACTTTTAATCAGTTTTGTAGACAAGTAATATTTTTTTCTATTGGTTTGTTTTGACCAGCAAGTAAAATATCATCAATCACTATTGTCAAAATGAACAAGTCAATTGTGACAATTTTGCAAGGCTGATGCATGCGAATAGCGGGAAGGTGACCAACGTTTTGCAAGTTTCTGGAGGACTGCTGTTTGCATATTTCCAGCTCAGAGCTACCATGCTAGTTAAAGTAGTGGATATTTGATGATGTCTAATGACTTTTAGAGGATGGTAAATTACCATTTCTTCAGAATGCTGTAGAGGAGAGTTAGTCTATTACCTTTGCACCTCCAGGATGCATCTGCACTGCACCCTAGCTCGAAATAAACTACCCAATTTGAGCTACACAAATTGCATAACTTATATCGAGTGTATTTCAAAATAGAGTGCTATTCCAAAACATCCCTTAATCCTTGCAGAATAAGGTTTACCAGGTCATCGGAATAGCACATGCCTGTTATCTCTAAAGATATTTTGAAATAATGGGCACGTTGTCAAGACTCAGAAAACACTATTTTGGAATAGTGGAAATATCCCAAAATAGCTCCATAGTGTAGACATACCCCTAGAGACTTAGGATCCAATCCTTTGCTTTGGTCACACATAAAATGAGATTGATGGGTGTCATTCGAATCCCTCTGTGAGCATATTGAAAAACTGCCAAC